TAACACACTGAAGGTCTCCGGTTCGAGTCCGGGCGACGCCACTCGCGGGGATAACTCAGTTGGGAGAGCGTCAGACTGAAGATCTGAAGGTCGCCTCACCGCATCCTATTTTCTAAATTCTTTTTTAATTGCCAGCTCTCTCGAAATCCAATCTCATCATTTCAAGTTCGACGACGCCATAGTTTCAAATGTTGCGGGGATAGCTCAGTTGGGAGAGCGTCAGACTGAATATCTGAAGGTCGCGCGTTCGATCCACGCTGACCGCATTCTATTCTTATTCCCTAGTCCGCTCGTTCAGAAACCATCATATATTATAAATAATATTTAGAACCATTCATCTAGAATATTTCTATGGGTCCCACTTGTTTCCTAGAAACTTCCCAGTTTGTTTTGCATGCTCTACCAACCAAATTCCTAAACTCACCTCAAGGTTGTGGGTCCATCAAGAATTCCATGCATGGCGGCCAGCAATCAAAGATCAACAGCATCACATTCATCAGATTTTAGGACATGTTAGTTGTCAGAAACGAAACCCTTTCGGTGTTTTCTGCATACCATGACTTACGGACTACAGTATTACGGTACTACCGGTCCCACCTAGCGTTTCTCCAAAACATATAAAGTCTTCACGAAAAGGAAGGTTTCCAAGTTACAGCCTTACAGGCGTAACTACCATCCTACCTCCCTCCCCCCTCTTCTGCTCTTCATGCCCCCACCCAATTCTGGAGACAACAAGCTCGCAAATTTGGAAAGACGAAGAGCTCGCTATCAAAGTAAATTAAATAAATTAATTAATAAAAACAATGTAATTAAATAATAGATTCCATTGCAGTTACTCCAGAATTCCAGTTTCTCCTGTTCAATCTATTATTTTCATTGAAATGTAGGGTTTTTTTGTTTTGTTTTGTTTTACGATCATGTATTGTTCTTTACTTTTGATTCTTTCAAATTTATTGTGTATCGTGTTTTTATGGTATTGGATGGATTTTGACATGAAGGGTCGTGGTTTTGATTTCTGAGCAGAATTGCAACATGGATAACAACAATAACGTGCCTGCCCAAGGAGAAACCAACATGGATGGTGATGATTGGCGAAGGGAAATAAAACCCAATTTTCGACAAAGTGTAATAAATTCAATGTAAGTTCCATGTTTCTTTTGATTTGTATACTGCATGCAACAGATGAACAGTTTTCCAGTTTCTTACTGATTGTGTTGTTTCTGTGTCTTCATGGTTATCATCATAATCATCTTTTTTTTGTCAGTGTATATTACACTGGACTGATTACGGAAACCCTCTGTGTTTCATATAAGGTTTTCTTTTAATTTAAAAATAATGGAAGCTCATGTATTAGTGAAATGATCTCAGTTTGAATTATATTTGGTTGATTTTCTTTTGTTGTTGAAGGACATACAATGTCCCAGTGTTGTGTCGATATTCCCCACTTTCTTTTGAAATCCTTCTAGCCAGTTTTGTCTATGCTTGGGAAATGGTCAGGGGAAATTGTTTACCAATGGAGCCATTTTTCTCTTTGGGGGCCCATAATTTTACAATGGATATGGCACTGAACAGAGTGGAATGGCAGAACAGGATTCATGTAGCCAACCCTATATAGTTGAAACAAGGCTTAGTTGAGTTACTAAAAAAGGGACATGCATTTTCTTCATAGCCATATGGAAGCCATGAGGTTTATGGTGCATGATGATTGACATATTGACTTTGACTTGCTCTACATAAATTTAAGGTTTAAGATGACTGATGATTGAAGTGCAATTGACCGCATTAGTGAGGAGTGGTCTATGTAAATTAAGGGTACTCAAGGAGCTAGAAGGAGGCTGAAATGATGGAGGAAGAATTGATGGCTCACAAGACTCTTCATAGTATGAAATGGAGAAAACAAAGATCATGTGCTGACCTGAATAATTGTCAAGGCTTCATTCATTTGAGCTTAGCATGATTGAGAGATTACTTTGGGGGCTAGTACATGGTTTTAGAATTCTAGGACAGCCTATTCAATTCAACTCAACTAACTCTTATTGCATCTAAACTCCTAGGAAATTCACTCTCTTATTTATTGCTTACATTTTTCTATAGGAGTTATTAACGGCAATAGGAGGAAACAAGGTATACAAATATGCAAGTGTAGGTGGCCATATTGAAATTGAAGATCAACTGTACAAGAAAAAAACACATTTTTGAAGCCCTCCAAAATAGATATGCTCAGAAGTTTTAAGTACTATTGGCCTTGGCCAAGATAGAGAATACAATGAACCATGCTCTGTCCATATTGTCCAACTGATCCAAAGGAGGGGGTGTAATAAAAAAATTCCCCTTGTTTACTAAAACCATGCTTTAAAAATCAGCAAATATTAATCTTTTCCTTGCTAACGTCTATGGAAAGTGATGCTTCACTTTAAGACAAGAACTGGGAAATACAATGAGCTATAGATGAGGTACAACGGTGTTTTCCTTTATGGACTGCAATGGGAAGGTCAAGGTCATCCAATGGAGGTGAAGGCTTAACAAAAGGGGGTGAAGGCTCAACAATGGAAGGCATCTCATCTGTAATGGAAGATAAAGGAATTGTGGTACCTGGATTTGGATTTGCAGAAGGAATTGGGGCTGGCCTGGACTGCTGATGACCGAAATCAACCTGCTTCCATCGTCTATGATAAACTCTCAAATCCCGGCTGTAGATACATAGGGCTCACTCAGCCCCTTAGAGCACAATAGATACTGAATTTGTACCACACGGACGCTTGCGATCAATCCATAACCGATCTTTCCCTGCGATAAACCTGCAACCCATCGCAGGTCTGTGATGAACCTACGGCATATCGCATGTTTGCGATGAACCCATTCCCAGTGCAAGCACAAAGCAAATACAAATTGAACCCACAAAGGGGTCCACGTGTACCTGGCCCCACGATAAACCCTGGGCCGTTATGGAGCCACGGTCCACTGAAGCCAGGACCGGATATTGGTTGCACGTGAAACTTTTAGTCACATGCATGACCAGGGGCCATGTAGGTTTACTAAAAGGCTACTCGTTAGGCGATGACATCGCTAATGCCATTTCAGTTAAGTGAGATGCGAAAGGTGGTAGTACACGTGAGTTATAAGGATCTCTAGGAGAAAGGAAAGTTAATCTTCGAGAGATCCCATAAGAACACGTGGCAAAACCCTAGCAATGCTCCTTAATGGCTGACAGCGAATCTAATATTCTCTTTCCTAGTGGAAAACAAAGGCTTTTGGCTCCTTCCATTCAGGATCTCGGGATCCTCCCCTTTAAATAGGGATCCCCCTCATGACGAAAGGCATTCATTCAACTCTCAGTTAACCCTATCATTAGACTCCCCACTCAGTTGTCACCTCACTCCCTTTTGCCCTAAACCTCTTGGTTGATTCTCTACTCCCGGTCTTCCTTTGTCTTTCAAGGAGACCACTCACCAGCCCAACCACTCCTTACTTACACTGGCAGCTCTAACAACCCTCCCCACTACACTCCTCTTCAGTGATTGGGACAGGTAATGGAACTTCTGATGAATGAACCCCTATCTCACTACTCTCCCCCTGAGAAGAAACCCTAGGATAATAAGGTACATCCTCAAAGAAAGTGACATCCATAGAGACAAACCTCTTCTCAGAAGTAGGTTCATAGTAGTGGTATTCCTTTTGAGTTTGTGCATAACCAAGGAAAATGCATTTTGAGGCTTTAGGATCAAATTTGGAACGACGAGGACCAAGAGTATGAACAAAGCAAGTACAACCAAAGATTTTAACGAGAATGGTGAACAACTCTTTATCAGGATATAAAAGAGTGAATGGAACTTTCATATCAAGAACCCATGAAGGAATTCGGTTGATGAGATATACAACTGTATGAATGGCATCTCCCCATAAACATATAGGCACATTGGAGTTAAACATAATGCTTCTAGCCACCTCCAATATGTGTCTATTCTTCCTCTCAGCAACCCCATTCTGCTGAGGTGTATAAGGATAGGTACTATGATGGATAATCCCATGGTCAAGGAAATATAAGGATAATGTTTTTTCAAAGTACTCTTTCGCATTATCGGATCTAAAAATTTTGATTTTGACCCCAAACTGGGTTAAAATTGTTAGGTTGAAGGGTTTTATGTATTGATGGTTCGGCTGATAAGTGTTCTTATTAGCCCGTATTTGTGTTTAAGTTGTTATGTATTGGGCCTGTTTTAATGGGCCTAAGTTTATTTGGTGTTTTAAGTAGTTTGGGTGTCCCATCACTAATCAGGGGCATTCCAGACATATCCTGTAACATTGTACTGTAATCTAATATAAATGATAGTACTGTCGACTGGGTTAAGCAGTTCGACATTCTCAGCACCTCTTGGTCTCCTCCTCTCTTCTACTACTTCGGCTACAACATTTCAGCTCACATGGTATCAGAGCATTAAGCAAGTTCCTGGTTACAGCCGACGCCATCTCCTCTCTCTTGCTGTCTTTCTTTCTTTTTTTTTTATCTTGGTTGCTGCGGTGAAACCCTAGGGTTGTAGGAGAACAATACAAGGTTCGAACCTGGGGTTTCCCTTGGTTGTAGGGCACAAGGGAAGTAAGACCCAGAAGTTGATGTCCTACTAGACTGTTTCTAGTAGTGGGTAGCCATTCGGCTGCTAAGAGAGGTCTGTATAGGACAGACCTAAATTGAGGACTGATTTCAGCAGTCCTAGTATTCGGCTGCAGGAGAACACTCTCTACAGTTGCAGTAATTGAAGCCCAAGAGAAGTCTGCATAGTGCAGTGGTGGAGAGCTCTCAGCTTCAGGTCGGTTACCAGCTCACAGAACACCTTATTTGMTGCTGTAACTGAACTACTTCAGAACTGTGACAGTCTCGGCAAGTCTGAACTAGTGTTGCGAGCTGTCAGAACCTTCTTCAATACTGCAACTAGTCTTTTTCAGCACTGTGAACACTTCAGCTAGTCTGAAACAGTGTTCTCTACACAGAGTCTGCAGCCAAGATGTCTTCAATATCCGGAGAGGTCTCTTCTAGGGATATCAGACCTGGTGGGAGGTCTTCAAATCTGGAAATACCGAATCTGCACAGCTTGCAGATTACAAGTGTGCTGCTGGATAAATACAACTTCAGGGAGTGGTCCATTTCTGCAATGCTTTTTATTACTTCCCGTGATCTCACTGTTCAACACTTTCCCACAACAGCCAAGATTTGGGAAAAAGTGTCTAAAACCTATGGGCAGAAGAAAAATAATGCTAGAATTTACAGATTGAATCAAGACATTGCTGCCTTAAGGCAAGGGGATATGACAGTTGCAACATATTTTGCAACCCTGGAAGGACTTTGGGAAGAACTTGACCATCACTTGATTTTGGACTGGGAAAATGCCAGGGACAAGGAGAGACATGATAAGAATATTGAAGAGAGCAAAACCTTTACGTTCTTGGTTGGCCTGGACCCAGTGTATGAGGGCATAAGGTCACAAATTCTAGGAAGAGATGAACTGCCCGAGTTACATCATGTTTATTATCTGGTAAGGAATGAAGAAGTCAGGAGAAAGGAGATGCAAGTTGACTCTCAGATTCAACCAGTTGAACAATTTGGTGAACATTCAGCCCTGATTTCCACTAAGGGAAACAAACATCCAGACAAGAAGCATCTTAAGTGCACTCATTGTGGGGGTGAGAGACATGTAAAAGAAAAGTGTTGGGTCCTGTATCCTCACCTGAAGCCAGCTGCATTGAGAAAGGACAAGAAGCAACARAAGGGTCATGCGGCAAGTGGGAACCTTGTCACTAGTAACAATGGTGACAACTCACAGAGTATTCCAACAGTGGCTTCTTCTCCCATGGGGCAAGTTGCTGATTCCTCTGGAGCCGGTGCCTTGGGCTTCACTGCTAGTGAGGTAGAGGTCCTTAGCCGGGCTTTAGCCCGTCTAAGGAATAATTATTTTGCTTCCACCTCTCTTGCCAGTCAGGTATTGTCTCTGCCTTTAGTGCAATTAGTTCTATTGACTCTACTTCTTGGGTTATTGATTCCGGTGCAATTGACCACATGACACATATGTCCTTATTCTTCATATCAATTGTTGTCTGGTCAGGATAAGATGAGAGTTGCTGATAGGTCTTTCTCCACCATCTCTGGAAAGGGGTGGTTGACCTAAGCAAGGACCTCTCTCTTAAATCAGCTCTACATGTTCCCAGTCTCACCTCAAATCTTTTGTCTGTTTCAAAACTTACMAAAAATTTRAATTGTAGTATAACCTTTTTTCCTACTCATTGTGTCTTTCAGGACAGATTGACGAGGAGAACGATTGGGAGCAGTCATGAGTATGGAGGCCTCTACTATTTTGATGCAGACATCGGTTCAGCCTTA